CGTGCAACATCTTATATACGAATCTTGTAAGAATCTTATCAGAAACTTATAAAAAGCTGATAAGTATTTTGTATGTTTCTTGTGAGTGCCTTGTAAGATTCTTATATAAGAATCGATGTCTAGTGTAGATCATACGCATAAAATATATGTACTTAACTGTATGCTTTTTTGTACTCTTATTGGATCTAATCTGGCGTTAGTGTTTATTCTCATGTTAATGAGTGAACATCGTCGAAATATCAATTATAAATCAAAATAATAGTACTGTGATTTGGATTAATCAAGTTTGTAGTAGTTTCGTATTTCTTATTACGTTTTTTCAAAACTACTGCTTTACCAAAATATATTAGTATTTTGAAATACAAATAGAAATTAAACCATCTACCACAATTGTTGATCATTTAAACTTGCGATAATATTGTCAATGAATTCCTCCTCGGACACTATCGATATAAAGTGGTTTTGACATGTTTTTGTATATCTTCATAAAACAAAGCAGCTCACTGGCACACGATTGTTGAAGCAATCTCTATCTGTCTCTTAAATGAGCTCAGAGAACATTATCAGAGACCTAGTAATACCTTATAGTATAAATTGTGGATTGTCGTACAGCAAGTACAGATACCTGTCCAGTTTCAAATTAAATTAAGCTTTTTAATTAATGGTTTCAATTGAGAAACTTTGTTTATATTTCAAAAGATTCAAAATTTAACTCTGTGTAAGAGAATAGGACTGAAACCCTGCATTCAGAACGTTTTACTGCTTTGATAGTGGAAAAACTAGTCTGCGAAAAATAGGTGCAAAAGTTATGTTTTTAGATTTGTTAGTATTTTGCACAGAGAGCTTTTCTTAGAAGACTTAGCTGGAAAATTTCGAAAAGTATCTGAGGGGATGCAGCATTTCTGTACATTGTGTCATAAGTCATACCAACTAATTGAAGAAGTGAGTTGTAGTCAGTACTATTCAAGACTGGAATGACCTAGATCAGACCCTCCGTTCTCTAACACATACTAAACATTTTCCACAAAGTTAAAGCAAAAGCTTAGCTTTCCATCGCCTCCAGCGAAATGGTTCTGTCGGACATAGACGTAATACTCACATCGCAAGGATTAAGTTTTCTTTCTGCAGACCAATACAAGCGACATTTCGTAGCCAGTCCTTTATGTCAGACTTGCATCATTCCTGAAACAGCAGAATACTACTTCTTACATGGTACACGCTTTGTCAAAGAAAGATTGCAAATGCTAGCCAACTTCCCACAGGCCCAAATACTTACTCCGCTATAGCCCAGATTTCAAAACGGATATGAAATGTTTGTGCGATTTCTCGCTGGTTGTGCCGATCTGCATTCAGCGTTTTCTCTAGCTTAACTTAACCCAAAGCCTGCTACTTGAATTTGCACAGCATTTTTCTCGCTTGATTACCCTTTAAAATATTGAAGAGTGCTGAGATTATGTCTAACTACACACTGAAAACAGAAAAAATAAAATGTTCGTATGTTCTTGTTTGCTCTGATCGCTCTTTACTTTCCACGAAATTACATAGAACTTTTAGAAGTTTTCTATTGAAACAGATGTGCCCCTAATCGTTTTCAGATTACAAAACAAGAGGGCACGCTATTAGATCGATCAAATTTCTATTACCAATAATCGTTACAACCTAGCGTTCCTAATTATTATATACTCTAAGGAGGACGAGAGAAATAGTAGAAGATATATACTCTTAAGAAACCAAGTGAGCGACGTATCAATTTCTTCCAACAAATAAACAGTCAACAACAGCTTCAGTACGTAACACCAGCAAATTGATCTTTGTGCCGAAAACATGTATCGTTCTATGGCAACTTTTGTGTTACTTTTATTATATATTGATTTATCCAACACGATGCGACATCATGCGAAGAAGAAAAAAGATGATTGTCCTCACATAAATCCTTGTACAAGTGACGAAAAGATCGGAAGTATTGTTCAGGTGCCGAGTGAACTGACAAGTGATGAATATGGCATAGTGCACGCGACGTTTACATTTGAAATGTTTATTGATGATATAGGCCAGACGAGATACTGCTACAATTACGAAAATAAATATAGAGCACCAACAATTCGGCTCTGGCCAGGTGAGACATTACATTTGATATTTATCAATAATATCAATACAACAACAAAAGCAAAATTTAGATTGAAACCTGGTTGCACCGGGAATGGGACTTCAACATCAAGTAAGCTACGCTCATCTTTTTGTATCTGTTTTAAATATGAATGTGTTTAGCGAATGTCCATTTTCACGGCTTGAATATTCCACCTACATGCCATGAAGATAACGTTGTACACACGGAAATTGATGATAATGATAAATTTGAATTTTACATGAAAATTCCATTCAACGAACCTTCTGGAAATTACTGGTATCATGCCCATTTTCACGGTCTAGCTGATGCACAAGTGTCAGGCGGTGCCACCGGTGCCCTTATCATTGAAGGTATCGAATATGAAACAAAAGTAATAGACGGGTGTTATGAACGAATAATTGTTTTACGCGACGAACCAGTCAACAGCAAGACGTTCACCAGCGATATATCCATAAATTGGGTTCCTATCCGTGTGCCTAATTTTGAGCCAGCTGTTATTTTATCAAAGCCAAATAGATGTGAGTTTTGGCGTATCACAAATGCTGCTGCCGACCTATTCTTTAACGTTAGTATTATCAACAATCAAACAAATAAAGCATATCCGTTTGAAATTATTGCCATAGATAGTATTGTGATACGAAATGAATATACTGGTCGACCTGAAACAATAATTGCCCATCATTATGCAATGCCTGTTGCTAGTCGAATTGAAATTAAAGTTCAAACACCGCCCAAAGGAGAGGAACTGATTTTCATGAAAAACTTTCTTGATCGAGGAGTGAGTTTTCCAAATGACCCGGTACGACCAATAGCTCGATGGCAATCAAAATACGATGCACCTGAATTACCAAAAATCATGAAATATAAAGACAATTCCAGACATAAAATTGAACGTTTTCGTAAAGTACACGATGAAGTGCCAGCTGTCAATAGGACGATCCGATTTTTTGTGGATTTTACTAGAAAAGACGGTGCTTTTCTTGTTGTTGTTGACTTCCCAAATCCAGAACCAGCAGAACCATTTAAGATGAATCAAGCACCGAATATCATCGCTGATACAGGCACAGTTGAAGATTGGCGGATTGAAAATTGTTCACCAGAGTTACATTCGTTCCATATTCATCAAATTCATTTTAAAGTGTTGGAAATTTCAGGAGTACCACAGCCCCCAGGGCCTCTGTATGATACATTTATTCTTCCATATTATGTCAATGGTACAACAAACGGTACACCAGTCGATACCACAAAATGTCCGTATGTCAAAGTTCGAATGGATTTCCGCGATCCCGATATTGCCGGAGACTTTGTTTATCATTGTCACATCTTGGGCCATGAAGATGCTGGCATGATGGGTGTAATACGGTTGGTTGATAACAATAGGAAATCCAAACATCAACCGTATTACGAGCGTAAGTCGTTTTTCTACCACTTTTCTTCTTCAGGCTTTAGTCTTCTTTGTCTATACGTTTAGATTTCTACAAGAATAAAAATGGCGAACATGTATCACACAGCAAATGGTTAAAGGACGGTTGGAAATATCATCCATTCAAAGGGAAGAAGTCGAGCAGCAATCACGCAATACAAAATAACCAGGAAAGACATCCTACCATCATGTGAGTAAAATATGTGATAATTTTTCGAATTTTAGGCCGAAAACGATGAACAACAATCCTACAATGCCAATGATTATCCAAACTCCGGCCAATATTAAGCGAAAGAAGATGATGCAGTAGATGAAAAACTTCTCTATCCAATATGTCAACCAAATAAAATTATATCAATGTATAAACGTTATAAACCATAGCTTACAGACGAATTGCGAAATTGGAGAAGAATCTAATCGATTTTATTTTATTTATAGAAAAACTGTATTAAATTCTCATAAACTTAAATATGTTACGAGCTATGAAATTTTTGAAAACATTTCTTCTTCTGCGCTAAAAGCGTTTTATGACCGTGTTAATGAACGCCTGAAAAATTCAAATAAAAAGGATACAAATTGATGAGTTGCGCTTTATGTGGAAATCAAACGTCTGAAATATCTGTTCTTCAAGACCACTAAAAGAGTCAACATTTTGAATGAACATTTCGCTCCTATATGTACTATGACTGAAAGTGATGCTAAGAAATACATTCAACCTAAAACTCTTTCACTCTCTAAAACAAAATTTGACATTACTGGAGTTAAACCGGACGAAAGTGCGAATATTTTTTCGAACTTAGATCAAAATATGGCCTGTAGCTCAACCGTAACCGCTCGTATGACTAAAGAAGGATCAGTTGTCGAAGGGGTATGATTACTTGAGTGTCGAACAAAACTGTTTGTTATTGGAGCACATGCATCAATATCAGGTGGCACAAATAAAACCGGATACTTTTGCTCGTTGTTTATCTGAGCCTGTTCAGTAGTCCAAAGAGCTTGTTCTAAGCTCAGTCAATAGAGAATTGAATTCTGTCCAAAACCTGATCTCTGATTGTATTTTTCTCGTTTGATCACTATTCAAATATTGAAGAGTGCGGAGATATTTAACTGTACACTGAAAATAGAAAAATGTTTGCATTGATCCAAAAGCAGATCCCATAGCTTTTTTGGAAGCATCAGAAGATTCACCGGAAAATTCTGCATCTTCTCACATATTTTTTGAAATTTTGCAGGTAAGTCTTCTAAGAAAATTTCTCTGTCTAAAAAAATAACTAATTTAAAAGCGTAACTTCTGAACCAATTCATATGAAATTGAAGTAAAAACTCATTTTTGCTAGCGCCTTACATATTTGGCTGAAACTGTCCATAACGTGCTTGTATATCTATTACTTGGTTAATTCTCTTCAATAAGTAATCGTCATTCCTTTGTTGTTGAAATAATCTAGTGTGATGTCGCACAAAGTATTAGCGTTGTTATTAACGCTGTTAAGATTGAGTGAAGAGAAAAAAAGGCATGTAGCATACAAGCTAGATTGCTTAATATATAGGCATGCACCAGTTACAGTTTTTGGACGGTTAACTGTAACGGTTATAACTTTCATAACTGTAAAACTGTAACTGTCATAACTGTATAACTGTTATAACTGTAACTGTTATAACTGTAAAACTATAACTATCATAATTGTTCCGAAGATAGTTCAGAATGAGTTATCGTTGTACTATTA